TTATATGTATTTCTTCCTAATATAGCTTTTTTGTTAGTCACCTAAAGGGTGTTTGCTAGCCAGTTTTCTTGTTGTTTCTGTATTTTGTTTTTCCTTGTTTTGGAATTGAGGATCAGCAGGGAGAGTTGTCCATTGGATCATCGAAAAGCATTCTTATAAAATTACACATTTTGCTTATTTTCTATTATTTAAATAAGAGTGATGTTATTATTTAATAGCCTATATATAAATTCAAACATGTATAAAAAAAAACAGTTTTATCTTTAAAAACTTTGTCTCATTGACTCAATTTTACAATCAACATCGTATTGTTAACAGCTCAATAAAGCTAAACTGCTAATTAAATAAAATTGTAAACTACATAGACAGTAATTTTTACTATCATTATTGTTAGTAACTCATATAAATAAGAAAGAAACATGCTCTTCATGCAAGCGTTTATTACTATCGGAGGATTTTATTTATAATAAAAAATTGTATAAAACATGTGCAAGTTGCTTAACTAAGAAATCTAATAAAAAAGTAAAAAAACAATCTCTTCCTAATAATAATAAATTTGAAGGTCAATTAGAAAATGAAATAGAAAAAATCAGTTTTGCCAATATTATAGAATATATTTCCAATAAAATTGCTAACCTTGAGGAAAACTCTAGTATTTCTTTTAACTTGTGTATTGAACTTGACGATAATATGCTAATAAATGCATCTAATGATATAAAACTCTTGATAAAACTAATAGTTGATGAGATAGAGGAAGAAGACGAATATATTTAGATGTAAGTTGCCTTTAATTTAAACTTCAAATCAAATTCAAATAAATAAATATTTATTTTTATATTTGCAGATTTACAACTGACTCTACCAACTCAGTGTGTCATTCTGGAGTTAGTAAGTTCTACCTTGTATGCTCTCAATGTTGTGAATTAGAACACAAATATAAAGAGTCAAATCGTAAAAGAATGGTTCGCTTTGATTGCTATAGAAAGCTGATTATTAGTATCGATATAGCTATGAAAGAAGCAAAAATAAAACTTAGTCATGATATTTAGCATAAGAGGCCTGTAGATGTCACAACTCCTGAAGAAATAAAGTGTGAAATTATGCAGAATCTTTATATGAACCCTGTGCAATTGAGAACACATATCCGTCAAAGATTTGATACTATACAAGTCACTTCAAAACAAATCAATTACTGGTAGTCTATCTTCAATCAACGCTTTTTCAAGTTAGATAAGAATCCTTTTATTTCTACATGCTGCTTTTTGAATAATCCTAATAATAGTAGCAAGTTTTGTTATGAGTAAAATGACAATTTAGTTACAGCAATTGGATTTGTAACTCTATTACTAATTAAACTCCTACCAGTATCTAGCATTCATTGTAATGCGACATATAAAACAGCAAAAGGGCAGTTCAAACTTTATGGAATAATCAGTAGCTTTCATAATGCAGGCTTCCCACTTTCATATCTAATATTAAACACTACAAATGCATTAGATAATGCTCAAATGAGGCTCTGACCCAAAGCACTTTCTGGTTTTTTTCACTCCCTTTACTCTAAAGGATTGCAACTACAAAATTTTTTTACTGACAAAGATTTCACTCAGACCAATATCGCAAAAGAGGTATGGCTGAATATAAATATGCAACTTTGTCTGTAGTACCTGAAAAAGGCAATAAAAAAAAAATTAGAAGTTGTAAAATAATCCAACAGACTCACTATTGGCCAAATAAAGTAATTGAAGAGTTTAGTTTTATTGACTCTGCCTTCAAGTCTAATTTAAATCTACTGACCCTGAATATTATATTATATATCCAGTAGGGCTACAAGATGAAGTTGTTAGCTTTATTAAAAAACACTTCCATATGCATTAAAAAATACCTATCAATGTTACTGAACAATTTTTAACAGCTAATGAAATCTGTGCTAGCGCAGTTCGTAAAATATATGATTTTTGTTTTGATAACTACCTTGTGCTTCTTTGGGCATACTTATGGTCTGAATGGTATAGAATCACAAGATGAACACTGTGGGCTCAATTAGCACAGATGACTATCCCAATTAATAAAACAAATATGTTAATAGAGTCACATTGGAGAGTTGTAAAGTGCTGTTATCTTTACTGCTTTAACAGGCCATGACTTGATTATATTGTGTGGATTATTTGTACATGCCTCTTGCCTGACCAACTAATTCATTATCATCAATTGTACCTAAAACGAATAGTGCCATCTTGGTTCGAAGATTTCAAAAAAGATTGGAATAGGCTTGCTGAAAAACTAATCGATGATGATGATAATAGTTATTATTCATCGATTCGGCATGTTGAATATGTAGCTGCCTCTCATTTTTTCATTTCCACTTTCTCATTTGTAAACATCTGGTCAAATGTGCAACAATAATAGCAAGGCTTCAAAATCCAGAAGGCATCTGGCTTTTGTATAAAAACTTTTAGCGAAGAGAAAACTATCCTTTTTTAATTTGGAATACTAACGAACATATGCTAACTGAGATTAATGCCCAACAATCTATAATTTCATCATCTTTACAGACTGAACCAAGTAATTTGACCGAAATAAGTATAGAAGATGAAGTGTTTGATTCAGTATCAGATAATAATTTGGTTAAGTTTGATAAAAATAATAAAGCATTTAATTCAGAAATATGCCAAATCTGTGAGAAAAAGGTTGCGACAGTAAGACATATGGCAGACTATTTGGAACAAAAACTTGCAGCGAATAATTTCAATCATGTTACCCATGTAGTTAACAATATGGATAGATTATTCGCAATGCTGAATGATATTGAGACAGCACAAAATCGAAGAAAATGTAATCTGACATGGTGAAAATCAACTTCATGAACCTTATATTTGCAATAAAAGATTCAAAATAGTCTTTGCTATCAAGAAATAATATTGAATAAAGAATGTAAAAACTTTTAGAATAAAAAAATAAAATACAGTAAAATAAAAAAAACTTATCTTTTATTTTAAATTAAAATATTTCTTGAATACTATAAAATATATCAAAACACTAAGTGCTATAGCTAAAACTCACAAACATATAAAACAATATACTTGCAAGACCTTTACAAATAATATTGTTATTGTGTAAGGACAAAAAACCATGCCCTATTTATTTGGCAATTTGTAATATTGTAAAATTCACTTTTAAATATCTTTATAAATTTTTGTCATTTGCATATTGCAAAACAATACTATAACATCCATTATTGCCTATCTATTATAGTTACCTAATTTATAAATTAAATACATATTTAGGGATAATATATCTTATAGAATTTAATATTTAGATGGTATTCGGCTTTTTTTAGTAATTTGAGATTTTATTTCAAATCACTATTAAAAAAATTTAGTATTATGTTAGGAAATCATGCAAATAATAATTTAATAAATACCTCATCGATAAAATCTTAAACAAATTTTCATCTAATCTATTTCAGTATCGATTTTAAGGATTTATTAATTTCCCACTACTTTGATTGGTTCTACTAATTGTTTACATATCGGAGTATCTATGTTATTAATCAATTTCAATAGTAAAGTGGTAGAAGATTCCGATTGGATTTTAAGACATTCAAGAATAATTATTAAATAATTTAATATTACATCAGGAAAGCATACAAGTAGTAATATAATAAATACTTCATCAACCTAATTTATTTCAGTATCAACCTTAGAACATTTAAAAGCAATTATTAAAATAATTTAGCATTATGCCAGAGAATTATGCAAGTAGTAGCATAATAAATATCTTATCGATAAAATCTTAAATAATTTTATATGAAATTTCTTAAAAAAATCTAAATAGTCTTGTAAAGACAAACTAAACTATACAGTACCTGATAAAGATAATTATGCAATAATACCTGTGATAAATACTAATTTTGGAATTTGGTCGAAGAGTCAGAATGCATGTGATCTGGAAAATCTTACCTACATCCTGGATCTGTTCTATAGTTACACAAGTCAAACAAATAAATAAAGAGTGAATAATAGGTAAATAACAGAAAAAAAATCTGCCATTATTCTATCCTATATCTACCAAATAATGGCAGTATAACAGCAGCATAATAGCAGAATAACAGTAAAATAACAAGAGATTTGTCAATATGAGTAACATAATAGCAAAATAATAGAACAGTTCTATTATTTTACTTTTAGTTATAAAGACTAAAACTAAAATAATAGAACTGTTCTATTATTTTACTATTATATTACTATTATGTTACTTATAATGATAAACCTTTTGTTATTTTACTGTTATTCTGCTATTATGTTGCTATTATGCTGTCATTATTTGGCAAATATAGGGTAGAATAATAGCAGATTTTTTTTCTGTTATTTACTTATTATTCATCTTTTATTCATTCGTTTGACCTGTATTAATCTTACTATATTAAACTAAAAGTGCTATTAATTGCATTATCTTTCTTTTGCCTAGATAGTATAAAAGGAATAAAGAATTGTAAAATTAACTTATATTTATTTAACTTATTATCTTCATCTCTGACTGAACTTGTTTTATCTTGTTAATTATTGCTATTATTTATAAGTTGTGAAAGATAATTAATAATAGAACTATTTTCAAGTAATAATTTTAAAATTTTATTAGCTATAATAATGTTATTATAAAGTTTATTATTTGGTTTTAAACAATGAAGTATCTGAATTATTTTTCTTTTCAAACATTAAAATTACAAATTTTGAAATCATTAGCAAAATGATATCAAACAATTAATACATCTAATAATAATGGATCATAAAGGAGATAAGTTATAAATTCTTATAAGTTTTTAAAAATTAATATTATTTTTATAATATGCATACTGCTCTTTATATAAGTTATATACTAAAATTACAAAAAATACTAGTATAATAAGCATTTTTTTAATGCTAATTAAATTTTTAAGTTCTTGTAAAACTTCACTTATAAAAATAATAATAATAAGCTATATTACTCTTTAAATGTATATTAAAAGAGTTTATTACTAGAATTTATATTATTCTTTAAAAGAATTTTTTAGAATTTGTCTTTTCATTATAGTATTAATAATATTTCTCTTTAAAAAGCTTAATAGAAAAAAATCTTTTATTATATATTTTGCATTGATTATTTTTAAGTTTATTAATTATATCTTTAAACTTTTGTAGAAACTTATAATTAGATCTTGAAAGATTATTTTCTGAGAAATCTTTATTTATATTTAATATGTTTTGAGAGCTTTTTGCAGTTTATCTCTTATGCATATTTAAAGTATTTTAAAAATTCTTTTTAATTTATTGTTTTTTAGTTTTTAATATATACTTATTTTATATATTATTTATATTTTATAAACTTTGTAAAATTTATTTTTTTGTAGTTTCATTAGCTTTTTTTGATGATATCTATTTCACATATTTGCAAATTGGACTTCATAATCTTCTTTGGTTTCTTCTGCTCTTTTTTGTTATTTTCTTCTGCTCTTATATTCTTTATATATTTCTTTACTATTAGGTTTCTTATTTTTATTATTTTGATTATTCTTACAAAGGTATACTGAAAGTAAAATTTAAACTTTTGTTATATATTAAAAAGCTATTAAAGTCTTTTAAATTTTTTATAATTTATTATAATTTTAAAAGAAATCATATAAAAAAATTTTTCTAAGTAACTAATTATAATTGAAAATATTGTATATAAATTTAAGAAACAGATCAAATATTAAAGTATTATTAATGATGCAATACTTGTTTTTATTTAAGATTATGTTTTAGTACAATAATTGTAAATCATATTTAAATTTCTGAATTTGTAAGTTACTTTTTTTTCTTATAGTTATTTACTAATAATTTATTTTTATAAGTAAATCTGCTTTCAATAATAACTTATTTTTTGTATTTTTTTATATTATTTTAGTGATAATACTTATTAGATTAAACTGTTTATAAGTAATACATAATTGTAAAATTTTTTAAAAATCCACTTTAATGTTTTTTAGAATTTATATGATAAAATAGTTTTACTTTTATATTAATAGATAGTTTTACTGTTATATAATAAGACCTTTTTAAGTACACTCCTTTGGATTTATAGTTAAAAAAAGCAATCATGTACTTAAAGAGAAAGTGCATTTATAGGAAGAAAAATATATAATGTTTTTATAAATATATATATTTGAAAAGAATTTATATTGTGTATATATTTATAAAATATGCACTTAAAGAGGGCTTACTATATCATTTATTTAATATTATATTATAAATATATAGTCAAAGTCATAAGTATCCCACCCCCTCTAATTTTTTAAATTGAAAAGATATAGCTTTAAAATTTTTACAGCAAAT